CTTGGCCTCCTTCCTTAGGAAGAAAGTCTGCAGGCTCTTTAAGCACCCATTCAGGAGACAGAGGCCCATTCAAAACACATCTACTGCCAAAGCTACAGGGAATTCTATATTTGTCTCGTAAGGACTCGGAGGCTGATGCTCAACCAGGAAAACCCAAATAGGTGAGCTCGTCGGTTATTACAAATAATATTTACATTGCTTATACACCCGGGATGCATCACTGATTCCAACCTCATTGCGTTCTGCTGGCTTGAAACAAACAAACAAAAAGGCAAGAATTAAAAGCAGCAGCGTGTTCAGGATTAACCGTCTGGCACACCGTGGGGTCTTTGAGAGAGAGGAAGTGCAGTCAATCTGCTTTAACTGGGGTTTTTTTTGTTGTTGTTGCAGGAGAGTCAGAGACAGGGTGGGAGTCGTGTGGGGGAGACAGAAAGGAAATAAAATGCATATGAAAGCCTTCCTACCACACACAGCACTGTGGTCAGGAATTGTCAGCAATCCCAACACAGGCAGAATTGATTCATGCTGAAAGCAGATACCCAAAGAGGCACACCACGACAAGATACTTATCGCAACAAGGGGAGAGGGCCAATCTATCCACTTAAAATCTAAGATCAAAAAAACCCACAGAGATACTGTTTGGGGCGAGGCGTGATTCTGTGGTGTGGAAACCAATCTGCCACCAAGCCATTCTCACGTCGCCCACAACGAAAACAGTGATATTCGAGCCCAGGGGCACCTTCGAGACCAAGATTTTTGTCAGATGAAGGGAGTGTTGACTGTCGAAAAACTTATACCCTGAAAATCTGGTCAGTCTCTGAGGTGCAACTGGGCTGGAACCCAGAAATAGTTGCCAAGCACCAACAACAGGAAGTTCTTATTATCTACAAAATTCTCCAGGGCATCTCCTGAAGGGTATTTATTATTGCAGACGTGGTAGCTACAGGGTGAGAATGCTTAATGTGACTGAGAGTTTCAGCCGTGTTTGGTGGCACAGTGGGAGAGCACGCAGGGATGGGGGGGGGGGGGAGGGATCAGACCGCTGGCGGGAAATGGGGTCATTCCACTGAAACTCGGGTGCTTCGGCCACTTCAGCCTCAATGGGCTGAACAGACTGGGGTAAGATTACTTTAAGATAAAGTACTCTACATCAAGGATAGTACTTTCCCCGCCTGGTTTCCTACAGAGGTCAAAAGCAGTTCACATCAAGCTGTCGGAGTTTAGAAGAATTTATGTGAGAACTGGAGTGGGAAATTCTAAAAGCAAGAGAACACACACGTGCTCACACATACACAGACACCCATGTGGCTTCCAGATTTCCACCCAGCAGAATCACTGGCAAGATGTTCCTCAAGTCTCATTAAAGCCCACATCCACAGATTCCTTCCGCTCTACATAGCAAAAGCCCCACCTTTCTTCCATCGTTCGCAAATGTGACAAAAGGGAGCTCTGAATCTCGAAAGCGTGTACCCTGAAAATTTTGTTTGTCTTTAAGGTGCTCCTAGACTTGAATCTAGTTGTTCCATCACACACAAACTCCTTCCTGGCAGAAAAACAGGCAAAGCTGGCCATGGGGCCAAATCGTCGCCTAGGATTTCCTGTTGACACAGACATAAGCAACAATGGTATCACAAAGACTCACTTGCTACTCCTGATGCAATTCCATAAAGTAGTCCTCCTCCATCGGACTCTGGTTGAAAGACGTGAGCACCTGGCGGAGGGCTTCTCTCTTGTCTGATAAAGTTATATAGCAATGTTTTCACAAGTCTGCTGGTGTACGGGAGACTGGAAACACAAGAGACTGAAACTTAGTTCTGTTTGTGACAATATTACAATCACACGTAACATTTCTAATTCACGTCATGCTTTTCTCAAGGTAATGCTTTTTTTAAAAAATCAGGCAACGGGGTCAGCAGAAGATACATAAAAAGGTTTTTATACCTTGCTTTTCTCTACCTAAAGGATTCTCAGAGCAGCTTACGGTCACCTTCCCTTCCTCTACCCACAACAGGAACCTTGTGAGGCAGGGGGGCTGAGAGAGTCCTGAGAGGACTGGGATTGGCCCAAGGTCACCCAGCAGGCCTCACGTGTCTCAAAGGGGCTGAGAGAGTCCTGAGAGGACTGGGACTGGCCCAGGGTCACCCAGCAGGCCTCCTGTGTCTCAAAGGGGCTGACAATCGCCTTCCCTTCCTCTCCCCACAACAGGCACCTTGTGAGGCAGGTGGGGCTGAGAGAGTCCTGAGAGGACTGGGACTGGCCCAGGGTCACCCAGCAGGCTTCATGGGGAGGAGGAGTAGGGAATCAAACTCACTTCTCCAGATTAGAGTTCGTGCTCTTAACCGCTGCACTGCACTGGCTCGCACATGTTCTTAACACCAAAATTTCAAACAAATTTAGGTGGGTGACAGCTCTATTGGTCTGAAGCAACAGAACAAAGTTTGAGTCCAGTGGCATTTATTCTGGGTATAGGTTTTTGTGCTGTTCTGGGTATAAGCTTTTAAAGTGCTACTGGTCCCCATAGGGTATAATGGAGCCGAAAAAATTCAGGTTTCCCGAATGTTTCCTGAATCCAAACACCATACTAGTACTGGGCTTTGGGAATATCAGGAAATACTGATATTTTTCAGGTTCAATATACCCAAACCCGAAAAATACCATGTGTGTGGGCTTTTTTGCACACCCCTAAGCCAGATCACTAAGCAGATGTAGTGGGAAAACCTCAAGTTCCTTGTTTACAACAAACAGCTAATCGCTGCTCATGTAGTAAATACTGAATACTCCTAAGTGCTCTGGTATGAACCAATACTCCCTCTAAGCTATGGAGTCTTGTGAGCAAAAAATCTGTTTTGTGAGCTATTGGCATCAAAGTTGTGAGCGAGCGAGTTGGCTATTGCATAAATTAGTTTGCTCTGGAGCCATCCTTATTTATTTATTTATTTATTTTTCTGAGTTATACCCTGCCCACCCCACCGGAGCAGGCCCTTCCTGAGCTAAGACAAAAATGTGTGAGCCGGAGGCTAAAAAGCTTGAACTAGCTCACACTAACTCAGCTTAGAGGGAACACTGGTAGGAACTGGCTAGCCTAAGCCCAGACGTGTGGAAATTAGATACCCCATGTTTCCTGGCCTCATTAATGGTTTAAATTCAGAATCAGCCTTGATTAGTATGAGGCATGGAAAATCTATCTTGCAATGAACTTCCCTGGATCTTCACGAACGCTTACCATTTGTCTAACGAGTTTCAAGTAGGTAGCTGTGTTGGTCCACATTAGAAGAGCAAGATTCGAGGCTCCCTTTGTCCTATTTGTACCTGATGGAGCAGGGAGCTTTGACTCTCGAAAGCTTATACCCTGGAAAATCTTGCTGGTCTTTAGAATGCTATTGGAATCAGATATCTATAACTGTAAGGCATTCGGTGAGTCAATGCCACAAGAGGCATTTTCCCTTCGTCCCTGATCCCGAAGATTTTTTAAGGTTGTGACCGGAGTTATATGAGAGATCTTTTGGCAAAACAGTGGGGTTTCTGCTGTGCTGTAGATTTCTTTGTTGGTATCTTTTTTTTTGTTCTGACAACTTCCAAGTGCAATGATAGTGGGAATTTGTCATTTAGCTCCTTGGTCCCTTGATGCAGCTTTGGAATTGGACTACTATAATCTGTACAACTAAAGCATGTATACGCCTGGTCCCTTTATATCAAAGAAAGTTTGTTTTAGTCTGATTTAAGTCTCTCTCTCTCTCTCTCTCTCTCTCCACACATAAACATGTATACATACATATAGATGCATAACTATATACACATGTACACACACATATATACATATACACACACACACACTTGTATACATACATATACATATACACTAGGAAAAAGGCACATGGAAATAAACACAACTATCTCTAGAAAGAGGCTCTGGGCGGGTGCCCCGGCCTTGGACACTCAGTGTCAATTTGCTGTGGCGACTTCAGCAGGGTATAATGACACTGAGTCCACCATTTTCTCCAGAGGAACTGATCTCTGCTACCTAAAGAACAGTTGTAATTTTGAGTGATCTCCAGCCCTCACCTGGAGATTGGCAATGATGGTTCCCCAGAATGGTTGGTTTGGAGGGTGGAGTCTACGGCTTTGTACCTGTCCAAGGTCCCACACCTCCTGAAACCACCCTCTCCAGGCTCCATCCCTCACATCTCCAGGAATTTCCCACCTGGAGTTGGCAATCAACTCCTTCCCAGCCAATCATCAACCTACCTTTATTTCCCCCTCACTCTTCAGCTTTCCACCCCCCATACACCAATGGGGCTGCATATGCAAATAACCTCTGTGTTCTGACTGGCTATGTGGGGGGGAGGGGATTAGCAAACTGTTTAGAATGTTGGAGGCAAGACTCAAGCAATGCAGCCAGTGGATAGGGACAGATTCTGAGTGACACACCAGGGCGCCAGCCAATTCCGGAGCGTGTGGAATGTTCTAGAGAAGTGCCACCACCATTCAGCTTTTATATATAAGGGGGATACACACACACACACACACACACACACACACACACACACACACACACAAATCAGACTAAAAACAATTGAGATATATACACACATATACATACACACACACTTATATAATTCTGGGTATAAGCTTTCGTGTGGATGCACACTTCATCAGATCCTGAAGAAGTGTGCATGCATATGAAAGCTTATACCCAGAATTAAACTTTGTTGGTCTTAAAGGTGCCACTGGACTTTATTCTATTGCTTCAGACCAACACAGCTACACACCTGAATCTGTCTGTCTGTCTGTCTATCACCTACCTTTTGATTTCCAAATGAAATAATTTCCCAAGAATAAACCTGACTTCTTATCAATTGTACGTCCTCTAGATCTGACTCTTGTGCAGCTGCCCATGAATGTAAATGCTGTGCCATGTCTTATGCTACAGGTAAGCAGATATTTGGATTTGATAGGGGAAAAAATGTCACAGTTCCAAATGTTTAGAGGGCAAAAAGAAAAAAGAAAAAAATTAAATACCCATTTGCAATCATGGGAAGTGATTACTATCTTTTTTTTTTTTTTTGGTGGTGGTGGTGGTGGTTTTTGAAAAGGAACAAAGCTAGGCTACGGTCCAAAAATCATGCTTTGGCTTCAGGGAACTCCTTAATGCATGTTTAAGGATGCATCCATAAAGAGTATCAAAGACATTATCAAAACAAGTCCTCACACTCCAAGAATCTGAAAACTTTGATACTCCAGGTTCATAGATGGGTGAACCGCATAATGAAGTTTACATGCCAAGGCCCAACAGGACTTATGTACAGGCAGTGATCAATTCCAAGTCTTATAGCCTGTAACTGACAAACCCTTTGCTCTAACCCCCCCCCCCCTTTTATCTAAAAGGGTCAAGGTTACTAGACGTGAAAATATGAGCCAGGTTCTAGAAAAATCACGTGGATTCATCGTATGTATCCAGGAAGGGCTTGTTTTTCCGTCAAAAGCAGTCTCCTATGATCATGTGAGATGACACTGAAACTGAAGTGAGATTCTGAAGAAGTTTCCAGCATGGCAGAGTGTGGACTGGGGTCTGTTGTTCAAGTCACATTTTCCAAAGGAGCATTAACAAGCCTGTGGGTTCCTCGCCTTGAAGAACCTTTCTCGATCTCAGCCCTGGTGCTGACATTTTCCTCCTGGAAAGGGTGTAGCAGCTGAGGTTTTTCTCCTATTCCTGTGTGGCAGATCTGTTCCCCCAGCAAGGTCTCTCATTCGTAACCCCCTTGGCCTGAGGCGTGTTTTGCAGCAACCCAGACTCTGGCTTTTTCTAGGGTTGCCAGCTCCCCACTGACCACTGGCAGGGGATTGGGGGGGGGGTAGGGTTGCCACGTCCAGGTTGGGAAACTCCTGGAGATTTGGGGATGGAGCCTGGGGAGGACAGGGACCTCAGTGGGGTACAGTGCCACAGAGTCCACCCTCCAAAGCATCTATTTTCTCCAGGGGGACTGTGTGGTCTGGAGATGAGCTGTAATTCTGAGGGATCCCAAGGTCCCACCTGGAGGCTGGCATCCCTGGCTTTTTCAGTAGCTACCCCATACCTCTGGAACTGCCTTCCAGAAGAGGTCAGGGGGCTCCGACTCACATGGCTTTCTAGTGGGGGTGAACAGCTTTGGGGGCAGCTTGGGCAAAAGGGGGGGGGCTGATGTTTTTAGATTGTTTTTTTAATGTTTTGTGTCTGTTGATAAAGCAAGCGCTAAAAACAGATTCAGAGGGTACCCATGTTGGTCTGCAGGAGGACAGCTAGATTTGAGCCCAGTAGCGCCTTGGAGACCAACAAGATTTCCGGGATTTTTTTGAGTCAAAACTCCTCTGGTATCTGACTAAGGGAGCTTTGATGCACAAAAGATTATATCCTAAAACAATTTTTTCCCCAATACTGGGTGCTGAAATCCCCCGGTGAGGTTGGGCATATAAATATTTTAAATAAATATATGCATTTAAAGACTTCCCTAAAAACAGTAATTTGACACCATTTTTAATTAATTAATTCAATTAAAGCATTTATGTCTCAACCACTCATTATGGCAGCTTGATGATCACAGGATCACATAATCACACAGAGTGGGAAGGGGCCATCCAGGGGCCATCTAGTCCAACCCCCTGCTCAATGCAGGATCAGCCTAGAGCATCCCTGACAAGTGTCTGTTCAGACGCTGCTTCAAGACTGCCAGGGAGACTTGGTGGGTACCAGGAAAGGTATCAACGGGCACTACATTGGGGACCCCTGCATTAGAAATCTGCTCTCTTTGGGCTGGCCTCCATGCTGCAAGACAAGTAGAAGAAAAATGGGGGGGGTTTTATATATACCTCGCTTTTCTCTACCTTCATGAGTCTCAAAGCGGCTTACAACTGCCTTGCCTTCCTCTCTCCACAACAGGCACCTTGTGGGGTACGTGGGGCTCAGAGAGCTCTGAGAGAACTGGGAATGGCCCAAGGTCACCCAGCAGCCTTCATGTGGAGGAGTGGGGAATCCAACTCAGTTCTCCAGATTACAGCCACTCTTAAACACTACGCCACGCTGGCTCTAGATAAAGGCCCCTGTCACACGGGCAGGAAACTGCAGAGGAGAAGTGTGGCTGTTTGCCCCGGGGCAAACTAACATGCAGTAAAGCGATCAGACCTACTGTGGAGGTTCTGTGGAGGTACTGTGGAGGTTCCATGGCAAGGGAGAGGTGCCGATCACAACACACGCCTGCGCGCAATGAAGAAGCGCACGGCGCGGCGAACTGGTTTTCTTTTTTTGTGCACACTACGAATGCGCATGCTCCGTTGGGTGCGTGTGCGCATCCACGGAGACGTGGGGAAAAAAAACACCCTTTTCCGCAAGGGGACATGGGCGGGCGCCGGATACCACCGGAAACGCGATCAGACGCCCGCCCTTGCCCCGCAGTTTCTGGAAACTAGTACCTCCAAGGTACTAGTTTTTTGCTGCGCTTTTTCGGCAGGAAGCCTCAGTTGTGCCACGGAAGCGCTACGCTTCCCAGATGTGCTGGTGAGATCGCGACCGGAAACTCCGCTTGTCTTCCGTATCTCTTGCGTGGCTAATGTTGCGTGTGACCGCAGCCAAAGTGAATTATCACCCACATCCGTTCCCCTCTGTTGCATCCAGGGGGTCCTAGTGTTCTGAGAGACTGTGTGCCAGTGAGCCAATACCCGATTTGACGCCAAGTTGCACAATTTGCAAAGTGCCCAATTCCAGCTTCTAGACAGAATAAAGCTAAATATTCACTTGAAGCTTCCATCATAACATCAGTAATAAACTGAACCTGCACATGTGTTCACTGGTTAGTGGGAGGGGAAAAAGCAGACAGGACTTTATTAAGATACATTAAGGGGCATCTCCAGCTGAGCTCCTGTGAACTCCCGTGCAGGGCTGCGGTCCCTAGTTGAAAAGTATGGTTTACATTTGACAACATCAGACTGATTTAAGCTTCAGAATATCTCTCCACTCTCCTCTATCCCCATTCCCCCACGTATCCAGGATGTATTTATTCAGAGAAAGGAAATATCCATCAGATTCCACGCTCCCTTGACATATTGACCACACAGGAGTATTTTTCTAGCATACAGTGCTATGTCACTATAATCAATCTCTTCTCGGGGTTTTAGTGGTAAAGAGATCTGCTAGACATAAATCAAAGCGAGCCATAAAGCGCCTTTATAAAGCATCGCTGTGAACGTGGTAAGAGAGGCATGGTTGTGCCTGAACCACGGGAGATCCTGGTACAATGAAATTTGTGCTCACCCACGAAGCTCAACATCTCACAACCAAACATTCCGAGGGCAACGCTTTGCAGTCTTTTTGAACTCAAAACCCCACCACCACCAATATAATCCATTGCGGGCATCTAAGATGGGATCCAAACAGCGGCAGCGGGAAAAAAGGAATACAAAAAGTCCCAATGCCACCCATGGAAGCATCTGGATGAGCCAAAAGAGAAACCTGGGATCCCAAACCGAACGTTTTTAGCATTATTCACCCATCGTTTTATAGTATTATAGGTTTATCATAGGTTCATTGTTACCAAACAAACCATGCAGAGAACAGTAAACCAAAAACCATTCAGAATTTTGTTGGGGGGGTGGGGGTGGCGGTGATAGGATTATCACAGCTCATCCTGAGCATCCGGTCATGCTAGAGAAGGGTCCCGAACTCGGCTCTTGCTAGCAGCCGCCAAATGTTTTTGGAAAGTGAGGGGGTCCCCATGGGAGGCTTATGCCCAGGAAGGCCTCGTGTCAGCCACTGGAGATTTAATTGGTTGGACAGGTTTTTCAAAATGTTGCTTGAACAGCAGCTGCCACCGCAGCACGAGGATCTTTGCTGTGTGATCTTTACCATGCGCCATTTTTGTGGCTGGCTCCACCTTGTGCGGCAGCCATTTTGTGGCTGTGCCTATCACACTGTGTCTGAATTCCAAAGGTGCCCAACGGGCTCCAAAAGGTTGGGGACCCCGACCTTGAGGGACAGGGTTCTGCTCCCCGGACTTGCCTCTGAATGCTAATCTAGTGGCCTATCACTATCTGTCCCGCTGCCCCACGTACTGGGGTTGAAAAATGGCCGGCAAACACCAATGGAGGCAGAAGCAGGCTTGGGCTAGGCGTGACCGTTTGTACTCTAGTGGCCTATCACTATCTGTCCCGCTGCCCCACGTACTGGGGTTGAAAAATGGCCGGCAAACACCAATGGAGGCAGAAGCAGGCTTGGGCTAGGCGTGACCGTTTGTACTCTCCCCACTGCTGCCCAGCTGAAGAGGCTACGGTGCCCCTCCCTACACAGCTGGGGGGGAATGGCAGATGCTCAACCAGTGATGGCCACACTAGTACCTGCGGGACCGCCTTTCCCCATATGTTCCCCCGAGAGCACTGAGATCTGAGTCACAGGATCGATTAGTCCCCCCTGGCCCTAGGGACGCCAAATTAACATCTACTAGAACTAGGGCGTTCTCCTTGGCAGCACCAATATTATGGAACCAGCTCCCCCATGAGATCCGCGCCCTCCGGGATCTCCGTCAGTTCCGGAGAGCGGTGAAGACGGAGTTATTCCGCCAAGCATTCAACAACCCAGACTGAGTATGTCAGCACTTTATAGTCGCCGCCTTGAGTATGTTATAATGTGGGTAAATTGTGATTTTAATGTACTGTATAGATTGTTTTAGAGGTATTGTTTTATTGCTTTTATTGTTCAGTAAGCCGCCCTGAGCCGCTTCGGCGGGAGGGCGGGATAAAAATCAAATAAATAAATAAATAGTAACCTTTCACACATATCCTGAGGGTCTTGTGCAGCAGGCATACAGTTTAAGGGACGCTACCTCAAAGGGATGCTGAAAGAATAACCGAAACAAGAATTCCAAAAGGGTCTACTGAAATTACCTTTAAAATCTGTACCAAACCTGATGGAGGCTTTCAAATTCACCAAGATTCTACGTGGGTACCGGTGAGTGCGAACATGTGTGTACTCATTTATGTATTTATTTATTAACCTTCTTATGCCGCCCTTCCCATAAGCACATATATTTATTAGAACATTTATATCCCGCTTTCCCTTGTGGATTCAAAGCAGATTACAACAATAGAAACGTTTCCAGTTAAAACAAAAATAGACTAGCAAATCCCAAATCTCTCCCTCTTAAAAGATGACAGCCACTTCAAACCCCTTCAAATGCAGGTCTTGCAGCTTCTTCTGAATACTTCCAGGGAGCCCCCCCCCCCCCAATAACTAGCACCAGCATCTATTTCTAATGCCTCAGTACTTTGTTCTTGAATGAGCTGAGTATTTTCTCATTCGTTGTCTGCAAGTGAGATGCTTCAGTACCACAGGGAAAAGTAAAAGATAGCTAAACTTAAAGCATTTACTTTAGAGAAGCAAAATGCAGGAGCGTGATAGAAGGCCAGTAATGAAAATAATCTACGTAGGAAGTGACGCTGCATTTTGACGTACCATCGGCCATGCATGAGATACTTGTGCGCGATGCTCTCCCGCAGAATTTCCTTGTGGAAAAGTTGGCAGGAAAGGAAAACCACTAGGGTGGTCACAGCTTCGAGAGAAATGCTGTACGTTATGTCCCTGCAAAGGAGGGGAAAAACAGAAGAGTTAATGAGCACCAACTTGGGCATTCAGTCACTGAATTTTTCTATTATATGCAAATGAGTGGAAATTAATGTATTTGCAGTGTGGCTGGAGCAAGAAAGCCCTGGAGAATAAGAAAAACCTTAGGCGTCTGTCAACAGTAAGTGACAGACACTCTCCCAGGATTTATTTTCAAACAGGCAATTTGTTGGGAATAAGCTTAATCGGTATTCTTCCGTTCTTATACCCACTTTGGTTCGCCTTGTGCTATAAAAACCACCTCCCTTCTTTTATGTCATCAGCGTAAATGGAAAGCTCCTTTATAAGGTAATTCTGTCTTTGTTCAATCGGTTCCTTAGAAGTACAAGGTCTGATTATTGCTACTGCTAATTATAAACTTCCTGCATTCAGCTAAACATTTTATAAATACGGGAACAACATAATACTTGTGAAGCGGGACTCCTGCCAAAAACTGTCAATTTCCTCCTCTCTAACATACAGGAATGTTCCCCCAGTTTTGCGATGACATAATATTGGCAGGGACTGGTAGGGGCAGTGCTTAGAAGAAGAAGAGATTGGATCGATGACATAACATTGGCTGGGACTGGTAGGGGCAGTGCTTACAAGAAGAAGAAGAGATTGGATTTATACCCCGCCCTTCACTTGGCGTCTCAGAGCAGCTTACAAACTCCTTTCCCTTCCCCTCCCCACAACAAACACCCTGTTGTGAGGTAGGTGGGGCTGAAAGAGCTCTTTCCAGAACTGTCCTTGAGAGAACAACTCTGACAGAACTATGGCTTGCCCAAGGTCATCCAGCCGCTGCAAGTGGAAGAGTGGGGAATCAAACCCAGTTCTCCCAGATTAGAGTCCATGTGCTTAACCAGTACACCAAACTGGCTGACAACCTCTAATTCCTTCTTCCTGTTTTCTGTATCTTCCTCTACTTGCAGCTTAGAGAAGACCTGCCTTTGCGACACATACCAAGTTCATGGCCTACACTAGCCAATTCGGTTCAAAAATAAAATGGCCATGCTCTAATCTGTTTCTGCTATCACATCCGTTCCTGACTTGGAGACCTATACATTCTCCTGATTAACAGTAGAATGACGTTCCTGAAATATGCACGGACAGGGTTGTCAACCCCCAGGTGACGGCTGGAGATCTCCCGCTATTACAACTGATCTCCAAGTGACGGAGATTAGTTCGCCTGGAGAAAATGGCTGCTTTGGGAGGTGGGATCTATGGCATTGCACCCCACTGAAGTCTCTTCCCTCCCCAAACCCCGCCCTCCTCAGACTCCACCCGCCCAGAATCTCCAGGTATTTCCCAACCCGGAGCTGGCGACCCTATGCTCAGATCTAGCTCACACTTGAAAATGTCCTTCACTCCCATGGCCATGACTTTAAAATTAAAACTGTAAAACTGACTGTAAACACTGCCTTGATCTGAGCAGTAAGTCCACATGAAAACGAAAGGCTGGGAACTCCACCCCACGGGAGCCTAGTCTGCCCCCCCCACACACAAACCCACGGTAGCCATCTGCAGAGACCGTCCTGTTTCATTCCACGGGGTGCCCGTGGGTCATCGGTAAGCCATTCCCTCCAGTGAACAGTTTTATCTCAGGCTTTCTGCTGTTTTATCGGCTTCGGTTTTTAAGTTCTGTTGGAGTTCTTAGATACACACAGTGACATCACGGCCACCATTTTATATTTTAAATTCTTGATGGGGTCATTGTTTTTTTGTGGGGTCACTGTGGCTTTCTGCTGATTTAAAGGTAAAGGTACAGGTTCCCTTGCTCGAAAGCCAGTCGAATCCGACTCTAAGGTTGCGGTGCTCATCTCCGTTTCAAAGCCGAAGAGCCAGTGCTGTCCGAAGACGTTTCCGTGGTCATGTGGCCGGCATGACTAAACGCCAAGGCGCACGGAACGCTGTTACCTTCCCACCGAAGTGGTACCTATTTATCTACTTGCAATTTCTTGCTTTCGAACGGCTAGGTTGGCCGGAGCTGGAACTAGAGACGGGAGCTCACTCCGTCATGCGGCACTCGTGTCTCGAACTGCTGAACTACCGACCTTCCACAGCCTGCAGTTCAGCGTCTTAACCACTTGAGCCACCGCAGCTCCACTTCTGCTGATTTAGCTGGTTATTAATTTTTATACATGTTTTGTTCTTTTGGCTCTCTTTTAGTTATAAGCAACCATTAGTAGGAAAGGGCGGGTATATATTGCATAGGTAAACAAAATAACAAAACAGAAATGAGGGAAGGCTTTCCCATTGGCTGTGGCACAACACTCTGCAGTAGCAGTGGTGGAGGAGAGTTCAAGTCACAGCTGACTCAGGGCCAACCCCGAGTGGAGTCTTCAAGGCAAGAGATGTTCAGAGGTGCTTCGTGTTGGGTATTTGCATGTTGAAAACACTCAATGTGTGTGTGTATGGGGTTAAATGTCTGTTTTGTTGTTACAGGAAGTCACCTGCCTTTGTGTTAGCCAATGTTAGCTTAAGTCTGTTAGCCCGCGAAAAGCATCCCTGTTCTGAGAGTTTGATTGGAAGCAAAGTGTTAGTGTCTTTGCATTTTATGGCCTCTCTTCCCCTCTTTGTTTGTCCTTGGAGAAGAAGCAGGTTAGAGAGCCATTACAGTTCTTCTAGTCTAGTGAGAGGATGTAGCTTATATAGCTGTTGTTGTTTTTTCCCAAGTTACCCTTCCCTATGGTAGAATTGTAGTAAACTTTTATATTTTAAACACACATGGACTCTGGGTCTGATTACTGAACTCTGGCATCACTAAGCTATGTTTTTAACTCTGCTGAATTTTATAAAATACCCCAACACTTCGCCATGCCCTGCCTCCATGTTAAAATTCTCTGGTATTCCTCAGAGGTCTCTCATCCAAATACAAACCAGGGCTGACCCTGCTTAGCTTTCGAGATCTGACGAGACCAGGCTAGCCTGGGCTATCCAGGACAGGGCGATCTTAAGAACATGAGAACATAAGAGAAGCCAATGTTGGATCAGGCCAATGGCCCATCCAGTCCAACACAGTGGCCAAAAATACCAGGGGGCATCAGGAGGTCCAGCAGTGGGGCCAGGACACCAGAAGCCCTCCCACTGTTCCCCCCCCCCCAAGCACCAAGAATACAGGGCATCCCTTGCCCCAGACTGAGAGTTCCCATCTATACCTTGTGGCTAGTAGCCACTGAAGGACCCCTGCTCCATAGGCTTATCCAGTTCCCTCTTGAAGCCGTCCATGCTTGTAGCGGCCACCACCTCCTGCAGCAGTGAATTCCATGTGTTAATCACTCTTTGGGTGAAGAAGGACTTCCTTTTATCCGTTCTAACCTGACTGCTCAGCAATTTCATGGAGTGCCCACGAGTTCTTGTATTGTGAGGAAGGGAGAAAAGTACTTCTTTCTCTACCTGCTCTATCCCATGCATCATCTTGTGAACCTCAATCATGTCACCCCTCAGCCATCGTTTCTCCAAGCTAAAGAGGAGCCATCGTTTCTCCAAGCTAAACTTCACAGGGGAAGTATTCCAACCCTTTTATCATTCCAGTTGCCCTTTTCTGCACTTTTTCCAGTGCTATAATAAATACCTTCCAAAGACATCTAGCATCTTCTATTCATATTACAAAGCTTTTTGACCTGGCTACTAAGTAGAGTCTACCATTCGTTTCGATGTCTCTTTTTCAAACAACGGTTTCAGTTCTGCATCCATGCATAGCAAAGTCTAACAGTGGACTCTCTTGAGTTCATTAATTCTCCAAGAGCTCTTAACAAACAAGTATAACTCTAAGTTGGCACGGATGCAGAACTGAAACCGTTGTTTGAAAAAGAGACATCGAAACGAACGGTAGCTCGGGAAGTTCGTCCTCTGTTCACCTTGACGTCATCACTCATTGTCCGATGGCGTCCTGTTATTGAAAAACCAAGATTAAAACAACATGAAGTTTATTGCTATCAGAGTCTAACTATTGTTTATAATTATTTGTACTGTATGCACTATTGCAGTAATCTTTGTGTATTGTGACATCATACTGCTGCCCCTTTAATTGTTATATCATACTAAGTAGAGTCTAACATTAAAGCTGTTTTTTGAGTGGGGAGTTGGTATTCTAACATCTGTTGACTTTTACCTACAATTTTAAGCTTTTATTTTTAAAGGTCTTTGCTGTGGCATGAAGCACAATGGATTGGGCCCCATCTAAATTCTGCAAATGGGAAGACCAAGTGCCCAGCCGAGCTTCCTCAGGCAGCCCGAACTGCACCCCTGAAATCCTGCTCCTGGGAATGGGAGACCCATAAGAACAACATGGGGTGGGGAGCTGGAGGGCTGCTGGAGGAAGGGGGAGGTCTTGCCCACTGTCTTGTACATGCGGATCTTTTCAATGGAATCTGATCCATTATAATACGCCCTGGGCCTGTCAGAGAAACCCCCAGACTGGGGTTCAGGTTGATCGTCAATGCACAAGCAAAGCTCCTTCTCTGAATGAGCGTGTCTTCCATCATTCTCCAACTGGTCAGTGCTACGGGACTACGAGACGGCGTAAGCTGTTATTTATCAATAGTAATACTTTCCCACAGGTCGACAGATGATCTATGAAGAAAGAGGAGAACATGCCGTCGAGTCGCAACAGACTCATGGTGACCCCATCCACGGGGGGCGTTGCTGGCAAGCAGAGTGGTTTGCCGTTGCCTTCTTCCACACAGCATCCCCCGTCTTCCTTGGTGGTCTCCCACCCAAGTACTAACCACGGCCAACCCCGCTTTACTCCCGAGCTCCGACAAGCATGGGCTAAGCTGGGCTATTGCCTACAGGGGTCCTTAAATATCATCCCAGGCACAGAGGAGCCGCGGGCAGAACTGAGGCCCCCAGGTGGCTGCGGTAAAATTGAAAAAGACCATTAATGTTTTATGCCACTTTCTACTCAAGTTTAAAAAAAAAAAGATCTGGATCCTGGAGGGAAGAAAAAAAATTATATTCAGCAATATAAGGAGTGT